CTCCATTATCCCAATGTAGCAAAAGGAGCCTTAAGTTGGTTCAGAGGAAGAGAAGATCTTCGGCGCAGCAATGAGCTCTTGCGAGCAATGTGGCAAGTGGCAGGCTCGCAGGGAACCACTCCGTTGTTTCGGGTTGGGAGTGCTTCCGCATATCCATCATGCGCATTGCCCTCAAGCCCTAATTGCTGTGCAACTCCTAGAGGCGGAAAGGAACCCTGTTTCCCTAAACTGGGCTTGGGATCTGGGATCTCGACCGCCAGCGAAAAGGTTTGCGACAAGAACACATCCCATCAAGGTTGGCAAGGCTTTTGAGTTCAAAACTCCGGAAGGCCTCCGGCAGACCGATTGAGGGGGCATACTCGGCTATTGCAGAAATCAGTGCCTATTGCATCCAGCAGCTTCCATCGTGTGATGTGGCACGCATCGCGGGCAGCGAGAGGTATCTGTAAATACAGAGGTCCACCTAGCACCCTCAGCAATTTGGCCCACGGACTGCTTCTCAGAAAGGAGTTTGCAGCTTATAGATCCGCATTGGCTGAGGACCTAGCGTAAATCAGCCTGCAATCTGTTGCATGTCTATTCTGCCTCCTTAAATGTAACCTAAGGGCTCAAGGGACGCGAAGGGGAACAGGGCATCATAAGCCTACCGTCCACGCATGCTCAAGGGAAACCAAGCGCGTAAATCATGCTCTCATTGAATGCTGGCTGCGCAGCATTCCCGACGAAAGGAAGGCAGTATGGAAGAAGTCTTGCGCCACACAATAGGACCTCCATTACACTATAATTCCTGGGGGAAAAGCATTATTGAGTGGTGCAAGATTTCCTCCATCCACCGTAGGACGACACTAGGAAGCAGGCTGGTTGCAGTAAAGACTTTCACAAGGCTGGTCACTGGAATTCGAAGCATGTTCCCCCATTGAAAGCCCTCAAGCAAAACAGCCTAAATCCTTAAACCCTAAACCCTACACCCTACACCCCCTGCGTGCTGGCAGCGATGCAGGTGCAGCAAACCCTACAACACCCTTGTACCCCAAAGCCGAAGACACCCAACCCTGAACAAACTGTTTTGCAGCCAAGCTCGCAATCACCCCCCCTCCCCTCCCATTTCTCCCCTGACAGGAGACCTTGGCGCTGCTTGCGGACATGACCTGCTATGAAACTCCTCCAAGCAGTACCTCTTACGGCTATGCAGCAGCTTGGGCTCAATTGGGTCATGTATTGGATTTTGGTTTGACGTTGTATGGCACGAAAGCCCAACAATGAGCACAACGCCAGCTTTCTTTGAATACTTCCCCTATAAGAAACCATTCAATTAGACTGAGGGTTCGCTAATGAGGGCCTGTTGGCTGGGATGCGGGGCGCATCTCCAATGGTCTTGGTGTTCATGAGCATTTTACCATAAGGATGAAACTTGAATTAGTCAGCCTATGATCCTGCCTTGTGCACTCCTCATGAGGCTGACGGTCTACATGCTACCGCAACATGCAACTGACAACACTTGACCTAGACTTTCTAGCCTGGAACCTGGATGCATATTCCCTATATGGTAGTTTCCCAAAATAAGGGACCCCAATATAGACCCCAAAATACTATTATCCTTAATATAGGGACCCCAAAAAGGTACCCCTAATTTTGGGAACCCCCCATATAGACCTGGACTTGTACTACTGCCTTTGCTCCCCAGAAGGCTCTCATTCAGTTTTTGTTGGGTCGATGTGAGGCTGCCTGCCCAGAACGACATAACAGACCCTACAAACGCTTTGACGCCAGACCAGTAAACCAGAATAAGCCGTACAGGACCTAGATCGTATTCCCCAAAATTTACATCAGCCTTATACACCGACACCCCCAAAGTGTCCTTGCTATAGGGGCTTCCAATGATCACCCAATGTTTTCCAAATTCACATACACACTGTAGGCTTACAGGTTCCTAGCAAGGAAGAAGGAATAGAATCCCTACATAATATACTCTCATTATCCCTATTGAGGACCAGTATGCTGGGTAATCCAATCCAGGTGTCTGCCTGCGAGAAGCTATCCCAGTGGCAGCACGCGATTCAGCTCTTCTGGGACATGCAGAAGGATGTGGGCTTAGGGTTTAGGGTGCGCGGTCTGGGGATAGAGTTTAGGATTTAGGTATAGGTTGCAAAAAAGGGTCCAGGGTGTAGGTTTAGTTTTCGAAGATGGGGTCTTGGACTTAGGGTTTAGGGAATCACGGATCCCTTAACCCTAAACCCTACGTTGCTGAAGGATGCATGGGGACAACCATCGCTTTCAGCCACATCTTGGGTCGTTGTGCCTGAAACCAAACCTAGGGTTCATCTCCCTTTCAGGGTTTTGGGGTATATAGTGGGATCATCTCGGGATGATGGAAAGAAAATGAAAGCTGCTGTTTAGGGTTTAGGATGGACCCCCCCCACCCTGTACTGTAACAGTGGCTATAAGAGATAGTAAGGATGATATTAGGGTCCTCTTCTATTCCTATTACACCACTATTACAGGGTGGGGGGTCCTCCTAATCTATAATACACGCACCACCCCAACTGTTGAACATATCGTCTATGGGCATTTAATTTAGGTTGTGGGGGGAGTGTTTATTTAGGGGCAATTGATGAGTCTTCACACACGAGAGCGACAGTTTATTCCTGACAAATGTACTGTTCGGGAATATTGCTATCATGAGCGATGTTCTAGTGCAGAAGCGCTGATCCAATGCAACATTTCTGGAATATGGGCTTGGATCTTAGAACCTAATATACTACAGTAGTTTCCATTTTCTTTTCCACTATCCCTATATAACCCTAATGTACTCTAGTGGTTTCCATTTTCTTTTCCAATATCCCTATGTAACCCTAATAGACTGTAGTAGTTTCCATGTTCAACACTGCTTCAGGACAGTGTGAACACAGATGGAGCTCCTGCTTGCAGTGCGCTGTCCTCTTGCGCCAAAATCGAGCAGTTGCCAGAAAGCTTCGCACTTTTGGATTTCATGCGCCGCCACGCGGTTCAGTGCAACACCATCTCCTGCAGTGCGGCAGTTGCAAGGTTTGAGCATGGCAAGGTTTCAATTTCGGTTATGATGCCATCATGTCTGCGTGAGAGATGTGAAGTCTCATCCAATGCTTTTACCCGAGCTCCAGCTGGGAATGATGCCAGATCTTACAATGCATTTTCATCGCTGAACTTTCTCCGTCTTAAGCCCCAATCCCAAACTAGCTGGCTTTCATTCCCAAACCTCAACAGGATGGAAAGAGTCAGTTTGAGAAGTCCTTAGCTTACGGAGTTCATGGGCGTCGCATGGCCCTATGTTCACATCTACGGGCTGAGGAGTTGAGGTAGGCACTTTTCTTACCCACAAAGTGCTGAACCTTAAACTCTCACACATCCCTAAACCCTAAACCCTATCCCAATATTAAAGCCCAGGCCCCCCCAAAGCTTAGCTCTCCACCCCTTGGCTTAAGATTGGGGCATGCTCGCATGCTGGCGCTTGGAATTTGGCTCTGGGGTTGTTGGATTTCATGACTGCCACAGATGCTCGGACTCGCACCACCAAACCAGGGACCAGGGATATCTCTTCTGGATCAATATAAGGGTTCCTTTACAGGGGGATGTAGGGGTTATATAGGGTTGTTATAGGGATATTATGGGGCTATATAGGGTTTAGGGATCCTAGACGTCTTTGGAGGTACCCCAGTAGTACCCTTTTTCCCTCATTATTAAGAGGGTTACTGGGGAACCTAGTTGTTTCCTTATGTGTAGTAGGGGTTCCCTACAGGCGAGGTTCCTTGCGCAATACGGGTCCCTTAATGGTTTGACCATTTGCAGCAGCAATCTGGGTAAACATGTCAGAGGACTGTGGATTTAGGGCTTACCGATCAAGCTTGATTGCTGCGCGCTGCGAGCTATATAGGCTGACGACATGGTCAGCAGCCTGCACAACTGGCGAGCGGAGCAGCATCATTCGGGTATTTCCGAAAATAGAAGTCCCAACATGGTCTGGCCTTTATTAGGGGACCCTCAATTCCCAGAAGCCCTCCTTTAAGCCTTTGCGGAGTTCCTACACTCAGGATTTCCGTATATAGGGATCTATATTAGAGCACGATGGCAACTACAAAATCCCACTTAACCTCCCAAAAGGGACCTTAATCTTGGCAGAGGACGTCCCTCGCAACATCATCTCCTTCAGCTCAGCAATTTCCGCCTGCGCAACTGGACTCGGGGAGTAAGGTAGGCCAAACCGTGACCTTAACCCCAAACTTTAAAAAACAACTTTTGAACCCTAGGGTTTTCGGGATTACCTGAACCTCAAAAGTATGCAGCATTACGGACTTTGGCTAATTTTCTTTGCTTTGTACCATTATTTCACTGATTTCTGATGGCAGCGTACAGCTTCTTCGCGTAGAGTAGAGGGCTTCAGCGTCGGGGATTACGTGCGGCTACAGTGATGGGAGATGAGGGTTTAGAGAATGGCACGGAGCCTGTACTTGCAAGTGTTGCCAGTAGACATTGTCACGTGGAATCTACCCCAAAGCCTTGTTCTAGTGCTTGAGGCCCCTAAAGTAGGTGTCAGGTTGTTAAAATAGTTTATACCTAAACCCCAAAAGTATGTAAAATAATAGCCCTAAACCCATAAAAATAGCCATAAAGGCCATTATTTTACATACTTTTGGGGGTCCAGGTAAGCGTGTATTGTTTGCCCTTTAAGCCTTTGAGCCTCCCTTCTCATCATATCCCTTTCGGCGTCTGGTAGAGTGCGGCTTCCCGTTTTTTCGCCCGGCTTTGGGAAAGGTATTAATATGCCTGTGAGACAGGTTATAACCCTATGGAACCCTAAACCCCAAGTTAACCCCTATACAGCCCCTATATAACCCCTATTCAACCCTTTATAACCAACCTCTATTTATAAACTGTTCAGGGAAGTTCTAGCGATGCATCACGGGTTTAGTGGAAGGTGGAATATGAAATTAGACATTACTCTTTAGGGTTGGCAGTTAATGCCTATGGAACCCTTGTAGAGCCCCCTATATAGCCCCTTTAGTACCCTATTTAACCCTATATCAACCCCCATATAACAGTTGCTTGACAGATTTGCCCTCTGGAAAGGCAAAGGCTGGCAAGTGGGAACCAGCTCTGGACCTTTTCTCACTGATGTCCTCGTCTGACGTGGCGCATGACACCATCAGTTGCAGCCGTGGTGGGCTTTAGTAATCTTCTTTGCGCTTTAATGTTCCCGTGTTCTGTGTAGTTGAGCTTTGACGTGTGACAAGGGCAAACAGAACCTGTTTCCGAACCACATGGAGGGATTCAGATGTATCTTTGTAGACCAGTTATCACCAATAGCGGGGTTGAGGAGCGAGTCCTCTTTGGTCAATGCTAGGTAGGAGCAAGCCGAGTGACAGGCAGGTTAGAATACCTTGTAGTCCCTTATCATTACTACCGATAACACTTGTGCTTTGCAACGTGCCTATCCGCATTCAATCAGCTTAGAAAGGTTCATTGAGTCAGGAGCCGTCAACCAAGATTGAATTTGCATTTTCTGGGCTCCTACTTACTTGCATTGAAGCGTTCTGTGTTCATGCGTTGCGTATCGCACCTAACCTCCCAAAAAAGGGCTTGAAGATATGGAATGCCGCAGGGTTCAGAAGGCGCCCGAAAATCAGCGTGTTGGAGAAAAGCATCGACACCTAAATAACACGGAAAAATATCCATTAGCAATCATGCAGGCATTGCGTTTAGCCAGGCAGTGCGACCATCAGCGCCTGCGAAAGGAGTGGACAGTGGACCACTGCCCTGGACATCTTGGCTGCCAGGCGGCGCTTCATATGCGGCGTTCTCAAGCTAGGGGTACCCAAGGGGCCCTATAGAGATAGATGGGGATTCAATGAGGACCGGGTGTCCTCATGTGTCTTGATTTGTGCAAGTAGTGCTTGTGTAGGGGTAATGTTGAGAAACTCCAACTTAAGTAGCATCTCAAATCAAAAGCCGCTGTGTATAGTGCGAAAGCATAGTCTCTTTTCTGTTGTTGATAGAGCATATCCTATTTGGTTCAACCAACGATTGAACCAGCACAATTATGTGGGCTACCTTAACCGTGCCCTACGCAACTTCTTCCCGCCTCAGCCGCAGCAAAGCCCCTCAACGTACAGCGAACACGAAGGCTTAGCTGAAGGAAACGAGGGGCCGCTTATGTTCACAGCGCACTCTATGTTAGTTTCCATTTTCCATTATCCCTATATAACCGCAATATAACCCAGTATATACCCCATTATAATATAGTTTTCATTTTACAAGAAGGGACTGTGGCTCAGACACGTTTCTGGGTTCGGGAAGGTACACCCTGCACCCCCTATGGACCTCCTGCCTGGTGCATACTATAGTCCTTTTACATTCAAACCCATAACACACGCAACACGGAACTACATAGCAGCTCTTGCGTAGGTTTGATTTCAGTGCAGAATACTCTTCAACTGGTTTTTCTGTTAAGAAGTTAAGATTAAGTCGCGGAAATAAGGGTACCCTATTATCAATTATGTACCCATAGTATGGTAACTCAAATCCCTAAACCCTAAACCCCAAAAAACCCACTTGCATACACCCATATCATGGTAACTTAGTCTATTTTCCTTAACAGCAATCCATTCACAGCGGGGGTGGAGTCCGAGCTGGCCGGGCTGCAGCAGCAAGCTGCGACATGAACTGCTCTAAGCTCCATGATGCGGTTTCCCAAAATTAGGGATACATTTAAGGGGGATTGTAGGGGGGGAGATATAGGGTTATGTCGGGGGTCGGTTTTTAGGTTCAAGGTTTCCCAATACTAGGTACCTTGTTAGGGGTCCCTATGATCAGGATTATAGTATTTTGGGGTCTATGTTAGGCTCCCCCGATTTTGGGAAACTGCCATGTCAGGAGGGCCAAAGTTGAAAGCTTAAGTGCGGTTGGGGGAAGCTTTGCGAAGTAGCCTCCATGCAGCTATCTAAGAGTTGTTCGATGGAAGTTTTGGGACGCAAGCCGTAAACTCCAAACCTTACCCAGACCCCCCTATGTAGTTTCTTTTCGCACAGCATATTTTGACCTCTTACCAAGAACATAACAGACTTCATAAAGAACTACATAGGAGCCCTTGGGTAGACCCAAGGCGAGAATGCCCAGCCTTCGGATTGTGGTGGATTCTGTGGCCTTGGCTTCTGCGATCAGTGCCCTGGAGAAAGGCTGCTGGGTCTGGTTGGAAACCTTCACCGATGTCTCCGAACTTATGCTGCTAAGGAGCTTGCATTAAGTTACCATGATATGGGGATACAGTGAATAATAGGGTTTGTTGAATATATGGTAACCTAATTTAGGCTCCGTAACAGCAACCCAATCTTGTGGGATGCTGTACTACATACTGGAGACCCTAGTGTGAGGTTGCTTTGTTCCGGAGTCCATAAGAGGAGTGAAATTGTGTTCAAAAATACAATCCTGCTATCGAAAAATGACTGACTGGCCTTACTGCATGCCATCTAAATAGCTATTCTTTGCTAGTGTTCCTTTCCTTGCAGGAAACGCATATTACTCGCAGATTCCCGTTTCCCTCCTATCAGCTGCATACTAGATTCTCGCCCCAGATGGGTATGCCTGCCCGCCTAGAATCCCTTTAGTACCCTAAACTCCTAAACCCTAAGCCCTGAAACCCTAAACCTTACACCTCAAGAGATCCGCAACCAAACCCAAGCCCCACGAGCTTCCGCAGGCCAGCAGTGGGAGCGAGCTGTGTCACTTCTCTTCGAGGAAGCTGGAGCGAAGGTGAACTATGTCGGCCTTTCTGCAGCAATCTCTTCTTGCGAGAAGGTGCTGTGAAGAGTGGGGAGTTTCGTGCGCTTTGAGCGTCAACTTGCGGTGAAGGGCTCTTGACGTATAGGGGAGGGAGCGCTCTCGATCAGTTGACCTGTTAGTCCGTTTAGGGTATTGCTGTGCTTCTCTGTGGAAAAGAAAGCACCCCACCTCCAAAATGACATTTTCCCCAATTTGGCAGCAAACACGCGCGGATGGTAGCATTCATGGCTACGAAGTCTACTGCAGATATATGGTGCGCAGAAACCTTGATTAAGGATGGTATCCTCCCCCAAGGATAACATGGAACCCATGAGTCCTCATGAAGGCTGGGCAGTGGGAAGCAGCCTGCGAATTGCTCCGCTACGCAACGCTGGCCTTCATCAAGGCTTAGGGTGTAGGGGGAGGCAAAAGGTTCAATACGCCCTTACAAACACATGTTGATCAACGCGGTGGCTAAAAGTGGCGGCTTCAACAAGTAGAGCAGAACACCCTAGTGCTTGGCAGGGAAGGGGGGGGGGAAGGCTGTAGAGATATGTTTGGGTTTAGGCTTCATAAGAGACTCCATGCACCCTAAACCCTAATTGGGGTTTGTAGGAGATTAACACGTAGTGGCTGCTAAGAAGGAGATCCATTCGCTCACTTAAGCGCCAACCCTTATGTGTGCCATCACGTGCCTCGCCGTCCCGACTAGGTTCATGTGGGGCTTATATTAGCAGGGAATCATGCAGGGGATCCTTTCCAACGAAATCCATGTATAATCCCGATAATTGTCGCTACAAACCATTCCCCTGGTCCGAACTTAGAGCCGTGTAGATGAGGGTAGATTCCACGCCGCTTCAGATACACGCGTTTGATCATGCCCGGACAAGTTCTTGCAAGTTGTTTTGCTAGGTGTGTTCATCTACGCGAGGTTATGGTAGTGTTATGGTGTGGTAGACTCAGAATGAGCACCATTCTAGGAGAGAGAAGCAGGGTGAGCCAGTGAGAAAAACATGATTACTACGTAGAAGGCCTTTACATAGTAAAATTAAAAATGACAGACTTCCCTAACTCCACTGTCTAAACGGGACCCTGCCTTGTGCAAGGCAGATGCCGTGGCCTTTGGTGCTACTATTGCAGCCTGTTCGCGTACTGGAGAGTGGCAACAGGCGATTGGCTTGCTGCAGCAGATGGAGCGCTGAGGGTTTGCAGTTCCTGGGGATTGAACGTCCATTGAAGGTAAACAAATGCCCTCAACATGAAAGGCCACGCCCCGTACATGATAAATAGTGTGAATTTCGATTGGGGGCATACTGGAGATGGGAGGTGGGGTTGTATATGCCTCAGCGGGTTTTGGATGGATGCTCCCTAGGTTCAGGGGGGGGTCATCATCAATAACATCAACAACAACAATCCCCGTTCCAATAAGAACAAACATGGAATCCTAACACATATTAATCGTTTTGGGCGCATACAGTATGATCGTCTCCGCACACATTGCTGTAAACATATGATTGGGGGAGCAGTGTTTGTTTGGACATTCTGCAATGGAAGCCTGAAAATGTATGACTACCTCGTACTATGCCCCATGTGCACAGCTCACACCATCCCGACAATAAGATGTAACTGTCTAAGCATTTTTGTACTCTACTACCAGGTTCATGGGATTTAGTAACTACTTACGACTTCGCTTGTAATATAGTAGCTTCCATTTCTTTTCCATCATCCCTATCGTAAAGCTTGTATTTTACTTTCCATTATCCCTATTGTAATCTAGTAGTTTCCATTTTCTCTTCCATTGTCCCTACTACAATCAGGATATGGATACGGCTCCAAGTGGAGTTATGTAGGTTACCCGAGGTAGAAGTAGGGTTACAAGCCCGGCCATTAGTAGCTACAATTTTCCAGGAACCTTCAAGCAAACCCTAAACTCTATTTACTCCTAAATTCCCAAAAACCCTTCTATGCCTATAACCCTACCCCTAAATTCCTTAAACCTTCAACCCTAACACCCATAAGCCCTAAGCTGTGTAGGGAAGCCTTGAGGAGCTGGAGCACATCCGCAGGGATGGTGTGGCCTGCACGGCCGCACCTTGATCACACGGTTTAGTGTTTGGGGTGTAATCCCTGCATACGAGCGATAGTCAAAACTCCTTGGGTTTCGAGCGGTTTTATAGGGGATTTTGTGGGGATAATGGAAAAGAAAATGGAAATCACTATTCGGATTTTGGGTTTAGGGTCAAAGCTCTCCCTGAAGGGGGGGTACCATAGGGGAGTATTCTGGGGGTTACTAAGGGGGATGCTAGGAGTTTGGACTATAGCTCATACGAACATGAGGAAAGTCACCCCGCCACCACCACCTCTCCAGCGTTTATGTAGGTGTGAATAGCAAACGGAAGCTGCTTCCTATCTTGTTTAGGGTCTTGCTTGGGCTGGTATTCAACACCCCATGTTGATTTTTTTTAGGATTTGGAAGTTTTTCTCTTGTTTCTTTTCAGGGGAAGGGTGTGATAATCCTATCAGTCCTTCGAGCAGATTGTAGGCTCTGAGGGGCATGTTGGATTCGGGGCGGGGGTGCGCTCAGTCATTTTTCCGCGGCCCATCACTACTCAGATTGCCCTGATCAGGGTTTTGGAACCAAATTCCCCTGCGTTTTTTTAAAAGTTCCTCCCCGAAACCTACGGGAATGCGTCGTTGCGCAACTGGGTCACCGAGGCAGTGACTGCATGCACTAACTCAGCTGCATGGAGCGAGGCAATCTCGCTTGTGGGATCCATGTTGCTGGGCTCGCAAAAGCAGATGATACGGTTCTGTCAGAAACTGAATTCGATAAGAGCCCATACAAGCTAGTAACAAGTATAACCTCCAGGACCATTGCAGAATCTTTTCAAACCTGCCGTGATCCAGGCTGGCCGAGATGATGCAAGCAGATGCCTTCGCCTACAGCGCGGTGCTGAGTGCCTGCGATGCGGCCGAGCGATGGGAGGAGGCGATGGTCGTGATGGAGGACTCCTAGAGTCCGCACAGCTTGGATTGCTTCATTGCCGTGCATTGTCCATGTGTGTTTCCAAGGTTTCAAGTGTTTTTAGGGAGCATAGGCTCGTAGTAGGGATTGATTCTCGGCATTGGCGATGCAGTCAGGTCACGAGTTATGTTTCGCAGTACCCTTCAACCTAGATTATACATCATGTTCAGAGTGACCTAGTCAGGACATGATCCCCCCTACGTCCGCTTCAACTCCCACTCACCCAGTGCAGGATATGGAAGCACATGCCTTGGCAATAGACGGCGTGCACTTGGGCTGCGTAATCAGCGCTGCGCAAAAGAAGCTCGGTCCCACGATGTGCACACAAGTCCATGGTCTAGGGTTTGGGAGTTTAGGAGCTTAGGGTTCTGGGGTTACAGGCCGGCGACTCAGATGATTGCACTTGTAATCCCCCCTATACTAACAGCGGCAGTAGCAGGGCCTACCCCCCGGCCCTTAGCCCTAAAGCCTAACCTAGGTACCCTAAACTCCTAAACTGCAGTGGACACCCTGGGCCGGAAACACTCAAAGCTCTACGACAGACAGACCCTAAACTGGGTAATGTAGAGACCTTAATGATCGCCAATATCGCTCCCTTATCATCCTTGACCTGAATGAGACTATTGCCATCATACTGGGTATGACTGAATGGCTACTATTATTGCTGTATTTATAGCTCCCATATAATACCTGTACCCGCAAACCTCTGAACCCTAACCCATATAATTCCACAAAGTTTCTAAACCCCAAGCCAGAAACCCTGAACCCTGAACCCTATAACTCCCTATAAAACCCTATAAACCCCAATTAAAACCTTTCCAAACCCTTTGGTTTTCAGAAATTCCCAGGAGACGAGGCCGCCCAGCTGCCATTCGGCTGCTGAAAGCTTTGCGGTCCTCGTGGCTGGCGTGTTGTTTAACAACCTAATTGTCCCACAACAACGGATAATCAAACGGAAAAGAAAATGGAAAATGAAATGGCTGGGATTATTTAGTGGCTTATAGGGGGAGGGAAGACCCCATTGCAATAATATAGGGGCCGAAATAACTACCAATATTATGGTTCCATATTCCATGTATAACTATGGTCTATGGTACCTCAAATGGACCTCAAAATGATATTGCGAAATTATTTAGGCCCCTGCAATCGCCAAGGGCTCTAAGCCCATAGAGAGTACCTAGATTTTCCCCAAAGGGCATACATAGCACCTGCATGGAACCTTAGGGATAGGGCTTGGGGCTTAAAACTTCAGGTTCAGGGTGTCTGGGTTTCGAGGGTTTAAAGCTTGCAGTAGGGCTTGGGGTTGGAAGTATCGGGTTTAGGATTACTCGAATTTTGGGTTTCCAGGGTTTAGGGTCTAGAGTTTGGGGGCTTAGGGTATGGGCCTTAAGGGGCCAGCAAATAGGATCTCCTAGGTGATGGCCCATACTTGGTTGGAAATTAGGGAGAGTTTGCGATGTTCGGATCCTGGGTGGGGATGCATTGCATGTACGGATGAGTATAGGGGAGTGCTTATCGACTGCTACAGGCTATAGAGATCCATACCCTCATTCCCAGGTAAGTTTGATTGTATTTGTGTAGTTCAGCCCAAGAAGACCTCACAGCGGAAGACTGAAACTTTAGTCCTGAGCCCTTAAACCCCCAAAGCAAAACCCCCGTACTCAACCTCTATATGGTAGTCTCCCCAAACAAGGGGACCCCAATGTAGAGCCCAAAATACTAGGGTCACCAAAAAGGTACCCCTAATTTTGGGAAACTCCCTATATCCCGAACTCCAATCCCAGGTGGCCGCCCACCATGCCAGAGCCTCCTGCATTTGCGGAAGAGGATTTGGAGGTGCTTCTTCGCTGTCCCGGCCTCTTGGTGCTCAACAAGCCGGCTGGGGTGCGGACAGAAGACGTGTGGCTTCGACGCAAGAGAAGGGCTATGGTTTTGAGTGTTCGGTGAGGATGGGGGGGCATTTGGGGAGAGAGTATTTCATCATAGGCAAGCCATTTTGATATGATTTATGCGCATTTCCGGGACCTGCGATAGCTCGAGTGACTGGGCTATTGCACCGGCAGGCCCGCCTAGGTTATCCAGCTGTTGCTACTGCACGACCTTAATACACAACAATAGTACAATTCCCAGGGTGTATAGTGTACTTTGGGTGGTGCATGATTTTAGTATCAACCCAGTGTCGCGTAGAGATTGTGTTGCAAAATCGGATACAACGTCGCGCACAACCTGATTGCACGCGACGCCGTCCACAACCTCCCAAATATTGTACTGAACTATCCATATCCGTAAGCGTAGACTGCTTCAAATTATGGATGGTCCCGCAGCACACCAGCCTTGAAATGTTCCCAAGTATTTGAAAAGTTGGGAATTCAGGTTGAGTAAGAATGTATGAGAACAAGATAAAGCGATGAGTGACTCAGGTCCTGATGAGGCTCCGACAGCCCCTGTGACATCCTCATCTGAACACGTGTTAACGGTAAAGTGTTCCTTAGAGGTTGTTACTGAAAGTGGCGCGGAAGAGATGTCGTCTGAAGGTCAAGCGTGGGATCGTTGAAGGATGAGGATCCCATGCCTCTTTGACAATTTACTGCCTTGGAGCCCTAAAAGTCCATTACGCCCACACAGGCTCACCTCGCTGGCCCGCTTCAGCCCCATCACAGAGATTTCTCGCTTGGACGTGCCGACCTCCGGAGTGCTACCAGTGGCACTTGGGGCGGAAACAATGCCTACCTCCAGGCGTTGGCGTTTAAAAAAGAATTCCGAAGGCCATGAAAGCATGGGTGCATAATGGAACCCAGCCCTAGTTGTTTCTGTTGGTATGCCCAGCGCTTGGAGTTGCCCTTGTAGGGCAGCCGCCGGCTGGACCCGGGAGTTTGGCCGGGTTTGTGCATAACTTTGGGGTTCAGGGCCTGGAATTAGAGCCAGAGAGCTGAAAACAGGTAAAGCACCAATTGCTGCACAGCGGGGCGGAGTTTGGAATCTGCTCGATGTAGTGTAGGTGCCGAAATGAAAACCAACCTTAGTGCAACAGGTTCCTTGCACATCAAGAGTACAGGCTATCACAAATCAAGATCACATGATGTTGATGATTATCTAGGCTGCTGTGTTATCTTTTGAGAATGGTGTGTTCATATTGCCACGGGCCCAGAATCCAACAGTAAGCCCAAGCATGATGCCCCTGGAGTCAGCATACCAAGAGCAATAAACGGAGACTCGCTTGCCCAGGTGGTTCAAGGCGCAGTTTGCTGGTCGCCTTGCACGGAAAGAATATCTCTGCCTTTGCCAGGGTGAACTGCAGCCAGCTACTTCGCATACATTGGAACCAGTACCTGAAGACTTAGAGACAGAGAGTCATAGTAGAGAGGCAGAATATTCCTACCACACACTCGATCTGCTTCTTGTTCAGAATCTCTTGGCTTCAAGTTCAGCAGCAGCAGAGGCCCTTGGCGAGCAGCGGATAGAGGTGCCCCTGCGCATTATGCCGTCGGGCCCGGGCGCAGCACGAGCGGCAGTGGACAAACTGGGCCGGGCGGCTCTGACTTTCTACGAGGCCCTGGCCGTGTACACGTCCGATCGAGAAATCTGGTCGCTTGTACGTGCCAAGCCCAAGACTGGACGAGTCTCGGTACCTTTGTGCCTGCGGTCCTCACATGTTTTCACTGCCGCAACAGCAAGACCCCACACCCCGCAACCTGTCAAGGAATGCACCAAATCCGGGCGCACTTGGCGAGCGTGGGCTTGCCCTTGGTGGGCGACCGAAGCTCCTTCTGCAGACAGTGCATGGCGACCATCTTTGCGCAAGTATGTTGCAATGATGAGCACCTGATGAGTCAACACACCTAGCTTGATGTTCATCAGATTTAGTTGGTGAAAGCGAAGGAACCCACATGACTGTTCCTGAGCAATATCGTGCGCACAATTTGTTGAAGTGCCAGCTTGCAGTTTGTAGCATGTTCTCAGTGGCAGACTCAAAGCAAGCGGGTTGGACATATAGACCCCTGTCAGGCCCTTCATTGAACTGCGACCAACTGCCACCCCGGAAACGCATTGTGCGACTTTCAAAAGTACTAGTACAGCGGTCCGCGGTCCGTACAAGACTTTTGGACATTTGTCAACGTCATTATTTCAGGATCGGCTGATAGGTACCATCAATATCTTCGTGGGGAGTAGGGTTCCGGTCCCTTCATATGCAAGGCAGAGCTCTTTTTTCTGAAGCAGTGGAGAGAACTCACTGCTCATTTGTGTCTTCAATTTCCCATCTCAGGAATCTATGGGAGTCCCGGACCATCGTGGTGCACGCGGCTATTTCTGCACTGCCATTGCTTGACGTTCCGCAGCTGCACGACAGGAGTGTCTCACATAGGCCCTAATCAAATTTGTGACCTCAGAGTTTCTGGAGATGATACAGTAGCTGCCAAATGTCTGGGATGTGTAGCATGTTGTTATGTGGTGGTAACAAGCTGGGTGTTGCATAGGATGTAAGTGCCCCTGCCTGGTGCAGAATGTTGAAGCATGCTGACTTGTTCGAGGCTGCTTGGCTGGGATGGGAAAGAATTCAGCATCGTGGCGCCGCTTCCAAAGGAGCTCCAGACAGCCCTGGAACACTTGGAGCAGCAAACGCATGCAAACGCTTTGGGAGAGCATGACAGCACGGGGAGCTGCGCAGCAGAAGTCGGGAAAACTGTCACCCATGCAGATGCAGCACACATCATAGGGTGTTGCATGCAGCCTGGTGGGGTAAATTTTCATGCAACGACTTCTGTGCTCACAGTAACCTGGCATTGCCCAAGCCCTGGCCATGGTTGATCACCCATATCATATGAACTATAGTCTAAACTCCTTTTCTAGGGAAGCATTATAGGGCTAGTAAGGGGTGATACTAGGAGTTTAGACTATAGCTCATGTCATATCAGATCCTGCATGTTGATGGTCCTTTGTCCGAGCGTGTAATGGTGATTGGCGCCGATCATGCC